ATTCATTACCCTTTATTTTGTCATTTACTGTATGTTTATGTATCTACTGATAGCCAAGGTTTTATCTAACAGTCAGTTGGGAATAACCTGGTTGGTGCTACAATAAGATATTCCTGGGTCAAATCCTGCTATCTCTGGTAACCACCAGAGACACCCTTAGTCAGAGAGTTTAACAAACACTGGTTGTCAGCAGGCATCTTTTTATGACAGTTTAAGTTTGCCTGGTCCTTGTCTTTTAGTGGGATCAAAAATGATGCCAACTATTAGAAGCCTTCCTGTCCAAAGTTAGCCTAAACAAATACATGTGTGGTCAGCATTGATTAAACCATATGATCATACCCAACCACATTAACTAATTTTTTGCTTTGTTAACAGGGAATGCAAAACTGTCTTTTATTTCTCAATTCCCTGGTTAAACTGTAAAACAATTGCAGTTGGGTTCACTAAATTCTGAACACTCGTTCATACTTTGATAATAAGACCTTTTTCAATCCATTAGTCCTTTTTGTGTCAATGGGGAGGTGCAGCCGAGTGGTTAGGGCATTGTGCTGGGATTCTAGATGTTCTGAGTTCGAGCCCCACTCCCACAGACTGCCAATCTGTGTCCCTGAGCAAGACCCTTAACCCCACAATGCTCGCTGGGCGCTGCACATTCGCAGCCCACTGCTCCACAAAGGGATGGGATAAATGCAAAGAGTTAATTTCGTGGCTCTGTACTTGTGACAGTGTAATGACAATTAAGTTGAATTCTATTATATTTATTCTATTAAAGTTTTCTTGAAATTCTTGAAAGGATAACTTTAGCCCTGTTGGAATCAAAGTACAATATTACCTTCAGTAGCTTTCATTGAAGAGATTTACATATTTGCAGTCTCTTAGTTTTTTAGGCTTCATTTACAAAGAGGTTATCAAACATTTCCCCCAAATAGACAAAAGTCCATATCAGCTTAAGGTGACTAAGAACTAAGGTTACTAAATGGTGATCTAAATTTGTAGTGCAAGGTAAAACAAAAGGCGAAAGAATTCTAGTTTTACTGGGTATCTCAATTTAGCAGCCTGTCTGCTCATAATAATTTGTTAGATTGGTCAGATTGTTTATCAATTTAGATGTAGTGTTTTGTTTATGTCCATTAACATTCTCTCTCTGTCTTTGTTCTAATTTAAGGGTGAGGCTGGAGCCCCTGGTGAAAATGGAACTCCTGGTGCAATGGTGAGTGAAAGAGGAAGCTTTTTATGCTGGAACTGCTTGTCCTTGACCACTTCCCTTTGACTGATAGATAAATGCATTTTAAACTGTTTTCCTAAAGGGACCTCGTGGTCTGCCTGGTGAGAGGGGTCGTGCTGGTCCTCCAGGAGCTGCTGTGAGTTCACACACAATCACAGCTGCAATATGTTATATAGATTATTGACCAATTTATGAACAAGCACCAACCAACCATTTTTGTGTGTCTCAACCAGGGAGCTCGTGGTAACGATGGTGCTGCTGGTGCTGCTGGACCTCCGGTATGCCTTAGATGCTCTGGCAGTTGACCTAACTTAAAAATGGCCATTTTTATTACAGCTCAAATCTGAGAATAAAAAATAAAACACACTGCTTTTTTTCTATATCTGCTAAATTAAAGGAGCTTTACTGTGTAACATAAGTTAGAACCAACATAAAAGGATGAGCTGCTTTTGTTCAAGTTTTGTTTGTCTGCTTTCAGGGTCCCACTGGCCCTGCTGGACCTCCTGGATTTCCAGGTGGCCCAGGACCCAAGGTAAGATTTTGCCTAAAATCATCCGATCGGCATATATAACTAGTTCTCCATGAAGAGGTCTACCTAAATGAATACATTTGAATTGAAAATTGGATTGAAGTTCTAAACCACTAACTGGTTCTGGTTCTTGTTTTCTATCCACCCAGGGTGATGTTGGAGCACAGGGTGCACGTGGACCTGAGGGACCTGCTGGAGCCCGTGGAGAACCTGGTAACCCTGGACCCGCTGGCCAGGCTGGACCATCCGTAAGTATTAGGCTCTTAACTTGAGGTTAATAAAAGTTATATTGAACCTTTAATCAAGACCAAATTAAATATCTGCTGATTATTTGAAGCAAAATAATAATATATATATATATATATATATATATATATATATATATATATATATATATATATACATATACATATAATATATAATTCAATTTAGAATGTATAAATGTAAATATGTGATTTGAAATTATTTAATTTTTCTTTTCCTTTTAGGGAAACCCTGGAGCTGATGGTGCGCCTGGTGCTAAAGGAGGCCCTGTAAGTTTTTGCGTTATGCATTTACCTTTATCCAACCATAAATTTAAGAGTTCCTAAAAGCTCACACCAGTGTTGCTTTAACAGTAGTTTCAGTCAGAAAGCACTGTCAAGCCCATACATGAAGATACAACTCTTATGTGAATGTTTGCTGACCCCTGCAGGGTGCCCCTGGTGTTGCTGGTGCTCCTGGTTTTCCTGGACCACGTGGACCCCCAGGACCTCAGGGTGCAGCTGGTGCTCCTGGACCCAAGGGAAACACTGTAAGTTGAGTTCTTAAGACACAACTCAGAGCTACCCATTTGACTACAAAAACAAATGTTTCCTCATTAACTGTTTGATATTGAAAAAAAGGGAAACAATGAACAGAGATTTATTTATTCTCTAATAAAAACCGTAGTTTGTTGGTAAATTGTATATGTTGTTTAAATTTTAATGTGTCTTTTAGGGTGAAGTTGGTGCCCCAGGATTCAAGGGAGAGCCCGGTGCTAAGGGAGAGTCTGTAAGTTCACAAATAGAACAAAGTTTTTAATATATAATCAATATATTTAGCCATTGATCTAATTGATTTTGTTTTTTTTCCAGGGTGCCCCAGGTGCTCAGGGACCCCCAGGACCTGCTGGTGAGGAAGGCAAGAGAGGAGCCAGAGGAGAACCTGGTGCTGCGGGCGCTCGTGGAGCACCTGGAGAACGTGTATGCACTAATTCTAAATGTGTTTCTGTTTTATTTTTTGAGAGAGGGGGATCACACCTGGGGTGCTAAAAGTCAACGTGGAAATATAGCTTTCCTCTTTATTCATATTATTTCTGCATTTCTAACTATAAATCTTTATATCTTTGTTGATATTTCAGTGCCCTTTGTGTCAAAATTACAAACAACACACTCTGAGCCAATTCAATTTTCTCTCCCCTATACAGTACAAGGGGTCAAACTGCTCTTTTATAAATAAGTATGGGCCCTTATAGAGCACAACAGATTTTCTCTCCTTTTTTGGGTAGGGGGGGGTCTACTAAGATAAATTACATAACAGGTTTAGAAGTATTGGATAATTTATCTTAATTAAGGAGGTAATTTCTATCTGTAAGTGCCCTGATTAACAGTCCTGTGATTTCTAATAATGTAGTTATACAGTGTTTAGTACTCAATTCTTGTTTTTAGAAACCTCTTTTTGCAATGAGGAGTTACTTCTGCTTTAATTCTGTTTTGAACAGCTTCCACCAGAGGGTGGTGCTGTAAACATGTAGCCAAAGTATGACATAATTCATTCCAGGTTTATTTTGATTATTTTGTTTAATTCTGCCTATAGGGTGCCCCTGGTGGTCGCGGTTTTCCTGGTGCCGATGGCCCGGCTGGACCCAAAGTAAATCACACAATCAAACACCATCTAATATGTTGAATGATTAAAACAACTAAATAGCAAGTTCCTATTGTCAAATTCCTTCCTGTTCCTGACTCTAGGGTGTAAATGGTGAGCGTGGTGTTCCTGGTCCTGTTGGACCTAAAGGTTCCACCGGTGAGCCTGGTCGCACTGGTGAGCCTGGTCTCCCTGGAGCTAAGGTACAAATAAATAATTGTTTGGCCTTTCTGCTTTTACCAGTGTGACACGCTGACCATGTCATCTGATCTGCAATCCTTGTTCCGTAGGGTATGACTGGCAGCCCTGGCAACCCTGGACCTGATGGCAAAATGGGAGCTCCTGTAGGTTTATGCCCTGCATATTCCCCATCAAACCGCTTACATCTTGCTGCTGAAGTAAAGTTAATTCATGGTCAAACTTTCCACACAGGGAGCCCCTGGACAAGATGGACGCCCTGGACCCCCTGGACCTGTTGGAGCAAGAGGTCAACCTGGAGTCATGGGATTCCCTGGACTAAAGGGAGCCGCTGTGAGTGTTGTTTGAAAAGATTCACACTGTCAGCTCACTGACATATGCTGCAAGTAAATCTTCATCATATGGCTTCTTTTATTTGTACTTCTCTAGGGTGAGGCTGGAAAGCCCGGTGAAAGAGGAGTAATGGGACCCACTGGCCCTGCTGTAAAGAACCCATATTTTACTCACATTTGATTTTTTTCAAAGGCATTCTTGTCATTTAGATAGGGTGTATCTCTCAGTTTTAAAACCTGCAATCTTTTGCATTAGGGAGCTGCTGGAAAGGATGGTGATGTTGGTCCTCAGGGTCCTCCAGGACCAGCTGTAAGGAACACCTGTATAGTTTGCTTTACTACCCTTTCTACAGTACTTGCATGACACATTGCTTAATGTTGCAAAAATGTCTGTTTGTCCATCGCCAGGGTCCTACTGGCGAGAGAGGAGAAACAGGACCTTCAGGAGCCCCTGGATTCCAAGGGCTTCCTGGTCCTCAGGGTGCCGTTGGTGAGAGTGGCAAACCTGGAGAGCAGGTGCATATTCAGATAGAAGTTAACCTTAAAAAATTCTTCTAAGCAGAAGTTCACCCTTCTCATAGCTATCTTTTATCTAGGGTCTGCCTGGTGAGCCTGGAGCTGTGGGACCTGCTGGACAAAGAGTAAGCCTTTCTTAATCAATGTTTTCATAGCTAATTGGAAGGATAGAAAACGGTCTTTGGAGTTTTTTTTGTTTTTTTTTTTACACCTGTTCATAGGGTAAAAGAATACTTTAGCATCTAGCAATGTTTAGCTTGTTGACTAGCAGGCTAATGTTTTCTTTAGCAGTGACATGGTTTATTTTGACCCTTACCTAAGTTTCTTCATGATCTCCTCAGGGTGACAGAGGATTCCCTGGTGAACGTGGTGCCCCTGGCCCTGTTGGACCTGCTGGTGCCCGAGGATCTCCTGGTTCTCCTGGTAATGATGGTGCTAAGGTAAAGGGTAATTTAATTGATTTGTGACTTTAAGTAAAATAATGTTCAAGTAAGCCTACCTGTTAACCAGTCTTTGATTTCCTCCATTTGTCATTAGGGAGAACCTGGAGCCCCTGGTACTCCAGGAGCTATGGGTTCCCCTGGACTGCAGGGAATGCCTGGTGAGCGTGGAGCTGCTGGTCTTCCAGGACTGAGAGGAGATAGAGTGAGTTATTAATGCATCATTCTCAATATTTACATCCACATCTCATCATGTATAAAATTAATCTATATGAAATTATTTTATGACTAGCATGTGGTATGTGGTCCCCTATTCCAAAAAATCCAGCTTGGTTTCTAAAATATTTATTTGAAAACCAGTAATTAGGTCTTTGCTTGTAGATATTATCACTTGGATTTGGGGCCCACCGTTACTTTCAAAGCCTGCATCAGCTTTGTCTCCAGTTCACTGCAATTACTTCCCTGGACCATATTTGACAGATTTTCTAGATTTTTGTCTGTTGTCTTGTCATTGTGAAATAGTTAATGTCACACTAGCAAAAAAAAACCTTAGACTTATGCTGGAACATTGATGACACAATGTTCATTAGCTGCCTACACAGGACATTTTTCTCAGTAAAATGTATTTAGACTGAAGGACATTTTGCTAAGAAACAGATTATTGGTCATTCTCTTAAAAAAAGTAAAAATACTGTTGTTTAATCTATTAGAAAGAGCAGAATTTCCTCAAGTAAGAGTTAGGTAAATTAAAAGTTAAACACATTCATTGGCAAGAGTTTGGCTTTAGCAAAACCTAATTAGCACAGTGCAGGGTTACCAGAAAGATGCATGGGAGAAAACAGATTTTAATATTTATTCCAGTTCTAACCTTTATATTGATTTTCTAAAATGTTGCTCCAATTCTTTCTCATAATAACACATTATAAATTCAATTTGAATTGGAAAAAATATTAGGAACATGTTTTTAACTCTTGGAAATGACTGCAGTAAACACCAGCCAGTAACTGGTGCTATCCTCACCCCGGAGGAGTCCTTCCCTTCACCATGATACCTGAATGGTGTATTAGAACACAGATTTCTATTACAATGATAGATATGCCTCATTTTGCTAACAACCTTTTTAACAAGCTATCCTCATCCAATAATCAAGGGGGACCAAGGAGCTAAGGGTGCTGATGGAGCACCAGGTAAAGATGGGCCCCGTGGCTTGACTGGACCAATCGGACTTCCCGGACCTGCTGGAGCACCTGGAGATAAGGGAGAGTCTGGTCCCGCTGGACTTCCCGGACCTGCTGGTGCACGTGGAGCCCCTGTATGTAAAGGCTTTGTGGTTGTCCTCCAAAAAGTTGTACCACAACCTTCTTATTATTGAAAATCTTGCTGACCGTACTCCATCTGTTACAGGGTGAGCGTGGTGAATCCGGACCCCCTGGACCTGCTGGATTTGCTGGAGCTCCTGTAAGGCTCAGTTGCTCACAACTTTCTTTCTCTCTCTCTCTCTTTCTTTCTTTCTTTCTTTCTTTCTTTCTTTCTTTCTTTCTTTCTTTCTTTCTTTCTTTCTTTCTTTCTTTCTTTCTTTCTTTCTTTCTTTCT